CGCAAAAAAATAATAAAATAATATATATATATATATATATATATATATATATATATATCTTTGATATATATTTTTGATGAGTAGTACTTTAAAAATAATTAATTGACTACAAGGCTACAAAATTTTTCATCAATTAAAATTATTAATTTAAAAAATAGAATTAAAATATGTTAAATTATATTTTAATGATGTTTTAATATAAATAATAAGATTTAAATCTTGCCCCAACCCTTAATTTCCTACGGTTTTGTGAATAAGATAGTCAAAACGACTCATTGTTCGCGAACAGCTAGTGTCGGCTTGCTAACAAGCTGAACACAAACCAATTTTTTTTATTCAAACTATAAACGAGTCGAATACGAACATTAATATTTTTTAACTAGCCAAATACGAGATGAGCCTAAACTCGCTAGCATTCAAGCCTCGTTTACACCCTCTATGTAACTCACATGATAGGTGCTTGGTGATAAATTAAAAAATTTGGTAATTTTGAGGCGAAAAGTATTATATTCTATTAAGCCTTGGAATGATGTGGGTGCATTATGATCCATGCAATAGTAATGCAACTAATACATATTAGAAGTCACTAGAAAATTGGGCAAAAATATTGAACTATAGTTGAACACGAGACTTTATAACCATCAAATTTTTTCTTAGATAATTATAACATATCTTGTTAATTAAAATTTATATTTCTCTCATCATAAAATATTATAGCTATAAAGTCCCTCTTAATAATAGTTATGCTAACATATCGTGGCTCAATTTTTCTTCACGAAAATTAATGGTGTTCCAATCCAAATGGGCTTGGTTGGCTCGAAATCTAGCCGCGCGAAATCTACCCATCATAAAAATATATATATATATATATATATATATAATGGCAGCTTGTGTGATTTCCGTTCTGATAGGGTTTTCTAGCCTCTGGCGATTAATGTTGCGTCTTCTTCCTCTTGGTTTGGCGCCTCTAAGCTAGTGAAATCCTACTTTTTTTTTTCTTTTTATTCACCTTTTCGTGCTTGTTGGCTGCGACGCTCCGATGGCCAGGAGCTTCGCAGATGCTCTAACAGGTAATTTGAGTTCTAAGATTGGGACTTCGGGTCTCTTCCCGCCTACTTTTTATGAGGCTTTGAATTTTGGTGGAGATTATATTTTTATCAGAAAGTTGGGAAGGAAGAATGGTAAACTTGCAATGTATGTTTCTGAGGATGAGAATAATATACTTGCTTCTTCTTGTAGGCACGCGTTGGTTGGTAAATTTCTTTTTGGCCATCCTAAGCTTACGGGTTTATGGAAAATCGGTCTTCTTGATGGGCGTCATATACTTATTCAAATATCTAATGATGTGGAATATACCATACTATTTGCATGTCATTCGATCCGAATAGTTGATGTCCCGATGAAAATTTTAAAGTGAG